TAAACTGCATTTAATATCGTGGCCTAGTTTAGAGCTACACGACTCATTCCTTCCATTTCCCCCGAGGCCTCTGTTTCTGGTCAAGGAAAGCAGGGCACGACTCCCTCTGGAGCTCATCAGTGCTGCTCAGCTTCCTCCTGCTTGCAGGCCGGCGGAGGAGGCTGGTCTGAGGCTGGAGCAACCCAGCATCGGGAATCTTCGAGCAGCATTTGTGGAATCTGCCGTCTCTTGCACCTATTGCAGTGGTTGCAGCATGGGCGCTGCAGGGCACAGGGAGCCCCAGGCTGGGGCAAAATCCAAAGTTCTCGCTACCACCTGTGTGAAGGCAGCTTTATATGCTGGAGTCGGTCACTGTCACAGGTGACACCTCCGAATGGCTGGTTTCAGTGCCCAAGGACACTGTCCAGGCGTGTTCCTTCTCAAGGTGTGAACTGCCTTCTCAAAGATGTCCCCAGAAAGGAATGTTTACAGATTTTGATCCCCTTTTTGGCTGATGAATTGTTGCACTGACAGCAGTCTTTGGAAGTAAACTGGAAATGGCAAGAAAACTCGAAGGTGCTTGTTCTAGTAGTCGTGTCGATATTGGAGTCCTTTCCTCCGCTGAAGCTTGCACTTGACCATGCGCTGGGCACCTCTTCTCTGTCCTGCCCCCCCCTCTAGTGGGGTGCCGTGTCATTGCAGCTTCAGCTTGGCCGGCAGTCACGAAGGAGGGTTTCGTGATGTTTTGCAGTTGCAGAATCACATAGTGACTGGAACACAGCGCAGAGAACTGTAGGACAGGTATGGTATGCACTGGATGGTAGCACAGACTTGTGGAAGAGGAGAAATAGTAGTGGTTGGGTACGTGAAATGTGGGGTCATTGGTGTGTCTTCCTCCATACTGAATGCCCTCTGTCTGTGAGGTGTGGATGCATTTGCAAAGCAGACAGTTGATGGGGTGAAGATGATTCAGATATCTGAATCTGACCACTCTGTCAATACCAGGACAAAACACAAGATACGGGGAAGGAGTAGGCTGCAGGCTGGTCAGAGTTGCTGAGGAGGAGAGGAGGAGGTTAGTGAAGGTTAGTCGTGTTCCAGATAGCATCACAGGTACTGGTGATGGGTCTCTTGCTCAAATCACGCTTGTCTACAGGTCTGTTTTTATAGACGGTCAGCTATATTCTGAGTAGATCTGCTTCTCACACAAATCTGTTACATTTATGTCTAATATTAAAGAGATCTTGTAAGAGCTTCAGCAGCGACAGATGGTAATTGATTGGACCATGTCTAGCCTCCTCCACACTGAGCTCGAGGGCTGAGTTTTGAGTGGAGCTAAGATAATGATCTGCCTATTTCAGGAGCTTCTCCTGTTGTTTGTGGGACTTTTGGCTATGGCATACCAGGCTTGCCAGTTGCTGTGACAAGGGTTTTTTTGGCGTGTGGAAATGGCCATTCATTATAATACTAAAAATGTTTGCATAGCTTGGGTTCCTGAACAGCGCAGTAGAGATTTCAAGTGCTCTTTCAGTTGTTTTGCCTTCCTGTGGGTTTGAGGAACTTGTTCTCTAGCCAAATACAAGCTTTTGAGCTGTGTTGGCTTATTCAAAAACCCCATCGTGTCTTTAGCTATCCTGCCTGTAATGAAAGCTCTTCCCCTCCCCTCTGACCTCTTCCTCTTGCCCCCCCATGTCAACTTTTTTGTCAGCCCACAGGAAACTCATCTGTGCTTGTGCTCTGGCAGGATCTGAGCAGT